TTGGAATCACCCTCTGCTGTGCTCCAGCTTTGCTGCACTGTGAGTCCCACCAGTCCTGAGACAGTGGGACACCAATGACAGCAACCAGCCCTGGTGCAGGCAGCACATGTGGGTACAGCAGCACAGCCACACAGAGGATTAGGCCACTTTGTGTTTCTGCTCAGGATAACTTCCACTGAACTACAAAAGGAGTGAAAAGCATCCTCCAAGCTCAGATCTCCATGCTCAAATACTCCTCCAAGAAACCAGACTAGAAGAACAGCACACAAGAGAATATGGAAAAGCCTTTGTTTTGCTGTATAAGGCTGCGCATGACACATTTAAATCCCCAGATGTACGATTAAAAGAAACAGATAGGATAAAGACATGTCTGAAGTGCTCCAGATCAGCAGGGCTGGTAGCCAGGCACACCAGCTGTGCCTGTATGGGATGGCAAGAGCCCAGGGAGAGCTGCTATAAGGACTAAGTGGCACTGGGGGCTTCTGTGCTTCAACAACAGCACAATTAAGCAGTAATCTGACCTCAGGCACGAGTCGCTGGCACCTGCAGCAGGCTGCCATCCAAGATCTGTCTCTTTGGTTGCTAATTGCTTTAGGTAGGTTTACCCTACTTGTCCTTATACTCGCCACAGTAACAAAACGTTTTTACTCATGCTTTGTACAACTGAAACATGAGCGGTAGAGAAAGGAGACTTTAAAAGTCATGTTTCATAGATGCAGTTATTTTAAGCTCCTCATCTCCTTGCTGCTGGAATTGAAGGGCAGTAATTCTGAAGATTCTGCAAAAATAAAATTTCCTGTGTAAAGACATTCACATCCTACTTGTCCATTCTCTTCGAACTTTAACTCCATGATAAACATGATGAAAAGAACCCAGTACTTTTTCACTATCCATTGATTTGTAACAGCAGCAGACAATTTAGTGCGTTTTATCTTCCTGCTGCTGGCTAAAGCTCTGAGAAAGAGAAAGAGCAGAATAGGAATATCCAGCAGGGCTCAGCCTGCCTTTTCTAGAGTAGGTGTGCAGAGCAGATAGACAGGAGCTAGAGGAGCACAGCCATGAGTCCTTTCCTACCTCACCAGGTGGCCCAGGGTTGAGCACACAAAGGGAAACACCAGGCTTTAGATGCTGACAAAGTTGCAGAGCAGATGGTGCTGGGCTGGGCCCTGAGGCACCATTCTGTAGAGACTGAATTTCACCACCTCACCTTTGAACACGGGCATAGCAGGGCACTGCAAGACACTGCCCAGGTCTCCCTGCCAGCATGGGCAACACCAACCCAGCACACCAAGCACCCTTACCAAGGACTCTGTAACCAAGCCCTCCTGTCCTATCAGGGTTCAAAGAGCACAGGAGCATGCAGCTGTTTCCTTCTGGTCCCTATCCTCTGTTCCCTCCACACCAGAGCTCTTGTGTGCAGAGCCAGTAGAATCATTTCTCCACTGCTAGTCTCCAGAAGAGACCAGAGCATACCTGTGTACCTCTCTGGGATACTGCAGATATGAACTGCAGAACTCCTCTGAAATTAAAAAAAAAATAAAAAGATACTACAGGAAGGAAGATCTAGGGGGGGGGTAAAAACCTCCAGACAAAACCAAAACATCCCAGAACACCCAACCACCTTTTTAAAGCTTTCCTCCTTCCTCTGCTTAGCAAGGAGAGTGCTCACTGAAGTCATCCTCCAAGCCTCCACACCAGCTCCAGCAATGCTCAGCATAAAGCAGTGCTTAGCAGTTTCCTTTGCAGCACAGGACATCCCAGTGGTACAGTAATGTGTGTATTCTAGAGGAGAAGTGAAATTGCTGTTTCTCTGTTGTTCAGCCTCACACAGTGGGCAAGGACAGTATCAGCAGGAGGCACATCTTCGATCTTCAGCTCTGTGATATGGGAGAGTGGGAGAGGAAGGAGCAAGCTGCTGTTTGCTCAAAGTCTGGAGCCTCCCCAAAGCAGGAGCTGTGCCTATTATGCACATATGCCTCAGTTTATTTGCCAGTCTCTTTTAGACTATTAGATCAGTTTAACTAGCAACTGCTGCTGATTTTAAGCCCAATTATAGTCACTTCTACCTGGTGACACAGCCCCAGTTCTGCAGCCAATTCTCACCAATTAATGGCTTCAGAATTGCTAGATCCTGCTGTTCATAGCAGTCTCAAGTTTGACCTCATAGTTTCCTGCCATAATTCCAGTACTGTTTGTTTTCACTGGAACATTTCCCCGTATGCTGTCAGCTACTGAGACCACTTCTCCTGTCTACTGGAATTCTGATACACATTAGAAGCAAGCTTTCAGCCTTGGCCCACCTCTAATTAAAAGATGATAAGTCTTTTTGGGATTAAATTCCTGAAGACTTGCCATGAGGATGTAGGCATCTCTACAAAATCTGTACCCACATCTCATGATTGAGCTTTTCTTCATCTTGAAGGACCACAACTATACAAAGACAAGTTCCATTACTTTGTGGAGTTTAAAAGTCTGTCACCAAAAGCCTGTTCTTTCCACTGGAACAAAGAACTTTACTGAGGCAGTGATCTCAGTCCATTCAGCTTAGGGTGCTCCAAAGGGGACTTCCAGCCATGCCAGGAAACCTGGCTTGACATATGCTGTTATACAGAAGATAGAGGCAAGCAAATAGCTCAGACCTGAAGAAGGGCAAGCATAAGACCCCAAGCCACTGTGTTTGCAAGGGACTATTGAAGGAAAGATTTAAGAAAGAGTTTATGCTTCTATTTCTACTGCTTAGTATTTCTGAATTCCCCACTGAAAGAATTTCTGAAAGAATCAAAAGTGGCCTCATTTCACCAAAGATGCTTATTCTGATTTGAAACTCCACTAAAGAGGAAGAAAGCGTGCTCTGAGCAAGATGTAATTCCAGGAATAGACTACAGTGAGAGAGACAGAAATTCCAGGCAGAGTGACTGTATTCAGGTGTGTCTGGTTCTGAGTATTATTGTGGAAAACACAGCAGAGCCCTGGATTACCCAGCACGGACGAATGAACCATTTGTCCCTGAACCAAAGCAGCCACTGCAAATCTCACCAAAAGAAACAGCAAAGCCCCTTGGGTAGGAGAGCTAAGCCAAAAAAAATACAGCAGGGTGTCAGGGGGAGCAAATGCCCAAGTCCAGCTGTGAGTCATGTCGCTGGTAAGGCGGTCGTGGGGTCAGACCAGCTCAGCACCACCTGCCAACTGCTGCACAGGAAGGTTTTCCAGTGTGGTGTGATTCCACTGATCATCAGACACGAGCTCCCAGCACAGCCCACTGCCATCCGCTCACCAAACGGATCAAAGAAGGCTGCCGGACTGACTGAGAACAGCCTGTGCCCTAAACTGAACTAGTGCAAACTTGTCAGAAAACACTAAGGAATGTTCTGCCTCAATTCTGGATAGTTAAGCTGTGCCTTTGGAGCAGGAGCTGTTGTGCTCCTCTCTGAATACGTAATGACTTTTTTTTTTCTCCAGCAAAAGAGATTTTTCTCACAAGGAATTAACAGTGGATTGCTATGTAGGTCTCAGTGATGTAAATTTGTCTGGAAGACTAAAAAAAAAAAAAGCTTCAACTAAACTTAATTTCAAAGGCCAGCAATCTGACTGACAGCTGTCACACAGCTCGAAAGGAGGCAGAGCTCCAGGGAAGCATGTGGTTGCATCAGTAAGAGATGAAAAAATCTGGCTGACGGGCACTTCAGCCTCATCCTTAAGCTTCTCTTTTGCCCTTCCCCATCTCTGCAAGTCCTGCAGGCCTTCACACTGCAAATATCTAGAGAATCTCTAGAATTCTGAGAGTCTCCCTGCCAAACCCACACTGTGGGCTTCCTGCACACATCAGGCATTGCCCCCCATCCCAAAGCACAGCCTGGGGCAGTACAGTCTCATCCCCAGCCCATAGCAGAATGATCTGTGCTCTGAGGCAGCTCGCAACAAGCAGCCACGAGTGGAAGGCAGGAGGGTGAGGGCTACAGCAAGGAGCACATCCAGCTGGGAGAGGGACACACTTCTTTGGGAAGCAGCCGTTCAGTTCAGTCAGACCTCTCCCTCAAATACTGGGTTAGCTTCCTCGCAGCCACAGACAAGAGAAAGAGCTGACCTTAAAATAGCACAGCTGCATCCTGCACTCAGTGCTGCCAGTGATGGAAAAGCTGCTCGTACTCATTTTCAGAGGGAAGAGGGAAACTGCCTGTATTGTTCGAGATGGAATGGCAGCCACCTCTGACGGCCCGAGCTGCTGATGCTTTCTGACAGAAGGCTGCTGTCATTTTCCACAACCCTCTCCCTAGGGCTCACCCTGAGGCGAGAGACCAGCGCAGACTTCCAGTCCCCCTTACACCCCCTCCAAAGGTTTTTACAAAAAAAAAAAAAAAAAAAAAAAAAAAAGAAAAAACCCAATGATCAAAGAGCCTTTGTGCATTTATAAACCTGTCAATTTTGCTTGAGGACTTAAGGCTTTTTAAAGAGTCCAAAACACCTATTTGAAATTTTCTATACAAACAGGTTTTTTAATATTAAAAAAAAGAAAAAAAAAAAGCAAAACCCAGAAATAAAATATTTAGATTTTTCTGAAGTAAGGCATTCCAACAGCTCCAGACAGGAGTGCTGGAGGGGAGGAGGAAATCCAATTTTTAAGTTTGACAGGAACAATTTTTTTTTGTTTCTTTTAATTGGCAGAGAAACAAGACTACACAGCTATTTCTGCCCCTGGCTCTGACAAGGAATAACTGGGATGAGCAGCACAGGAAACAAAAAAACTAAACTTATTCAAGTGCTGCCAGTTTCAGGTTCCCGTCCCATTCTAGCCTGCCTGGCAGAAAGAATCCCCCAAGCACATGGTACAGTTGGGTTTCACACTGCCGTCCTGCCCCTTCCTCTCTGTACATTCTCATTAACTTGTATTATGCCTCCAAAATCCTCCTATGCAGAAGAAAAGTGTGTTCCCCACCACAAAGCCCAGCCCAGAGAATAGCATGGCTATAGGAGACCTCAGACTTTTTCCACAAGCAGAGTACCTTTATTCCTGGTCATGAGGAAGAGTTGAGAGCAGCAAGCATTCGGCAGCACATTTTTTTCTCCTTGTCCAAGTAGTCCTTGTAGCAGCTGGAAAGTAGAGCACAAATATGGAGTTGAGAGCTGTAGACTGCCCATCAAACCATCAGCAGCACAATCAGAAAACACACATACATGTTTAGACTTTCAAGGCAACTAGCCTAGTGCTGCTAGAAGAGGGAGAAGCTCACACAACCCTTTCTTTCTGCCATGAAATAAATTTTGTCTTATCACCAGACCCTGAGCCTTTTCTCTGCTGGTACCTATTAGGTAGTAGGAGCATTTGACTCCTGGTAGTCAGATGTTTTCTGCAAGCATCTTTGCAAGCACACGGTGATGCAGAACTCCCAGCTGTATTCAAAGCCCTACTGTGATGCCCATCATTTGCACCATTCCTCATGTAAGCCATTACAGGGCCTAGCAGGACACACAGTGCAGATGCTTCACTGTTCAGGAAGCTACTGCTAATGGTTATCTACCACTGACCCTACAAATCCAGGCAGAGGATGGGGAAGGGACAGCAGGCTGCGTGTCCAGACTATGGAGACAGCAGGACAAATGCATCCTGCCAGCATCCCATTTACATGGCACAAGTTATGCAGACCACTCCATGTGAATCAGTGCTTCTGGCAGCACCAGCAGTGCCACAAAGAAGCACGGTGTCCCTGCACCCCACACTCCACCTTGCAGGCAACGAAGCCTCACTGGTGAGGAATCTCTGAGCCAGAAGGTGACTCAGCTCAGGCACTGCCCCAGGGATCAATGGCTGCCGGTAAAGACAGCTTTACTGCATCTGCTACCTTATATGGTCAAAAGCAAAGTTTTTGTTGCAACGGCAGAAACAGCAGAACGGTGGTGTTGGCTAATGCTCTCCGCCCCCCTATGAACAGTACCTGTGTGTCCACAACTTTGACGGGTATCATTCAGTGAAACATGAGCTGACTACATCTGCTGTGAAGTCCTGCAGGCAGATGTTGTAAGTACCCACAATCAGAAGATCAGTGCTGTGCACCTAGACTGGATGACACATGCTCACATGTCTACCAAAGCAGGAATCCAGCTGTGCCTCACCCACAGGCACAATTTCAAGCCAGATGTCAGAACAACCCTATGTTATTTCATATTTGATACAAACCATGTCCTCTAAAAACGTCACCAAAGGCAGCATCAGAATTTGTACCACTGGAGCTGGTACCAGACAAGTTCCATAAGGTCCTCGCCCAGGACTCTGCCTGTCTCCCTCTGATGAAGGTGAACTTTGCCAGAACCTAGCTTAGCTGTTAACAGGTACTTTCCAAAGCTCTGTTCATGCAGCAGAAGGTAACTGTTGATTAACAAACAGTATTCCTTTTTGCAAAGTTTAAGTGCACTCAGTAAGGAAGTAAAAAGCTTTTAAAACAGAATTTTGATTCATATTCAGTTTCTGAAGCATCTGTCAGATCACATCACAGGCTTTCACAAGCAAGGCAGTTTGGTAACGTTAGAGATCCAGACTGAGCTATGTCATGACTAACAACACTCTGTACTGTTGTCTCCATCTATTTTATATTAATTCCACTTTTTGTCATTGTCAAAGCAAGAAATTCACCAATTTTAACTGGCAGCAAAGCAGAAGCTCCAAGACAAGAGATGTTCAGTGCACACTCAGCTCACTGTAACGCACATTAGTAGCACATGCTGCTGTCTCTAGACTCAGAGCTGACTAGTTTGCCTGCTGCTTCCCTGAAGGCAGAATGCCTTGTTGCTTCCTGGCAGAATAAGCTCAATTATTAGCCAGATTTTTCTCCTACCAGCCAATATATTTTGAATGAATCTAAGAGAATGTTTGAGGCTTTTGGATCAGGTCTTCTTGTACTGTACCACAGGTCCTGGACACCACCCACAAGCCAAGCCTCCAACTACTCCAGCTACCCAGCCATCCGGAACTCTGATAAGAACACGTTCACTTAGCAGTTTGGTAGCAAGGTTCCCAGGCACAAATGAGGTTCAATAGAAGTATTTTACTTCACATTTTCAGACCAGCACCTAATTTTAATTTCTCCACATTTCTGATGTAACAGAACAAATTTGAAGACTTGGTTTCATCACAGGGTATTAATGTCTACTCAGATATATAGGGCACATGCAAGCCCATCCCTCTACCAAAATGTTACCAGGTGAAGATCCTTAGCCTACAGACTGGCTCAAGCCATACCAACTCCTCTTATTAGAGATGTTACTGCTCCCTACAAGCCTTACTGCAAATGCCTACAGCAACACAAAAGAAGAGGGCTTCTATTCAGAGGCTGTTTTGGGAATCTCTGAAGCTGGGGACTTCCTCACATTCTGTGTCCATGAACAGTGCCAGAAGTACAGCACAAACTTATGGGAACCAGCTACTGCTTTTGTCAGTTTCAAGTAAAAGAACAGAGTGAGGATGGAGGCCAGTGTTAGTCATGTTTTCATGGGGCTAGGGCATGACTAAGGCTGGTAGGATTGTGCTGTACTCAGTCTGTGGGCAAAGGGAAAGTCTGCCTTTGGGATTGCTCATCTGTTACCACCAAGGCAGCAAGAGATTCAATTTTAAGATCTTCCCACAGATGGGAAGGTATTTGTAGCATTGTACAGCTAAGCACTTGCAGTGCAAAAAGGTGCTGTAATCAACTGACACATCTTAAAGGAAATGAAAATCATATATTAATTCAGAACAAGATCTCGAGCACTCGTCTACTGCATCTCATTGGGTTTGAGGCATCTCAGCAGCCCTCCACCTCCCTGCCATCAGCCTGACCCACTTAGCTCAGTTGGAGTGGATCACACACTCCCTCTGAGAAGCCCTATGGAAAAAATGAATACTCTCAGCTTCTCACGTATCACCTGCAACCACTCTGTGTGCAAAACCTTGAATCAGCCTTTCCCACAATAAAAGACACTCTGCATTTTCCCAAGTCACTTATCCAACAGCTTTGGCACTTGATTATTATTAATTTTTTAAACGAACACTGGATATTTTAGTAGTTTCCAGTGGATGTTTTCAGCCTGTCTAAGCACAGCAATGGAAAGGAGTTCTCACCTTGCCAGTTTTTTCAGCTCATTGTTAATATCGTGGTTAAACGGCTCGATATGCTGAGCTCTGATCAGGAAGTCCCGAGCTTTTTCGTATTCTGTCATGCAGAGACAAGCCTGCCATTGAAAGAAGACAGATGCATTAAAAGATAAATATAGATTCGCTGCTGCTCTTCAGGACTGATATGTACAACTACAAACATTTCAGAGACAGATACAGGTATCTCAGGAATCCCTCAGGAGAAGATTTGTGTGACAGATTTACCGAGAAGCAGATTTTCAGATGCTGACAAATCACCTCAACTGCTGCAGGAGCTTAGGAGGTCAGGCCTAGAATTTAGTGGTTCTCCTCAGTTTATTACACAGCCAGACTGGATCACTGCTTGATTTGGCTACCAGAGGAATTTATCTTTGCCCACCTGGCCACACCTGAACAGCGCCTTGACATTTCTTTTGTCAATCTCCAAGGCTTTTTCCCCATACATCAGAGCTCGGGCAGGACATTCCAGCTTCAGGTAGGTAATTGAGAGATTCAGGAGCACCAGCAACTTGGAAGCATCAATCTGACACAGCTCTGCCTCACTGGAAGGACTCCGACCAAGGATGGAGTACGCCTGAGCAGATGGGGAAAAGAACTAGCACACAACAAATCTACCACAAGAAATCCATCCCAATCAGCCAGCTCCATCCATGTTTCTCTTCATTATTTTTAATGACCTAGGCAATCTAACTCTAACTATACTGCACAGCGCTATCAGCATGACTAGCCAGCTGAGTCACAAGACTGCAGCAACCTATCAAGGAACTACTAAGCAGCAAAATAAAAAGATACTCCCTGGATAGACTGTGGAGTCTCCATCCTTGGAGGTGTTCAAAGCCTAGATGGACACGGTCCTGGGCAACCTCCTGCTTTAGCTGACCTTGAGCACAGGTTAGGCAAAATCCACAGGCTTCTTCCAACCTCAAGTATTCTTCTGTTCCCAACTGGGAGGCCAGAAGGGAGCAGGCCTGAAAGAAGGGCCTGCAGATTTCTGCCAACCGTCCTCCTCTTTCATTTACTACTGCTGCTCATAAAACAGCAAGTGTCTCAGATCAGTTCTTAAATAATGAACTATACCTGAATATATGATGAAGTCCTATAATCTCTGAAGTGCACTTGTTACAGTGAGCTAGCACTAAATCACCACTTTGACAACCCATGAGTGGAAAATACATTTTTTCTGGTGTCATACCCTTTTGTATCTGTCTTTGGCACCCTCAAAGCACTGCTTACGGAATAGATAATTGCCAAACTCCCTCTCCACGTCTGCCACTTTCAACACCTTTTGTAGCGGAAATGCATCCTGCTGCTCCTGTATAAAGAAATACCTGAATTTCAGCTCAAGCAAAAGAAACCAAGCAAAGATAACAGACAAGAGAGTCCTGCACCATTGCCAAGGCCCTTCAGCATCCAGCCAGGCCACCAGCACACAGCATTTCCCTTCTGCACTGCTGCTATGCTGGTAACTCTTGGTGAGAAGTACTACAACACAGGTCAGGAAGCAAAGAGACCCTGCAGGAAAAAAAAGCAGGAATTTCTTCCTAAATTCTGCCCAACTCTCTCAACTGCTTAGCACAGAGCAGACAGCTCATACAAAAACACTATTCTTAGCACAAAAGGGAAAGCTGCATTGCTGTAACAGCTCAGCATCGCCCTGGGTGGCTCCATGACCAGCTTGACACAGCTCAGGACATCAATCCAGCAAAGAAGGAGCAAAAAAGAAAAAGAAAAAAAGAACAGCAACAAAAGAGGGGCAGGTTGTCCCCTGCGTTTTGAAGTTTGAATCAACTCCCAGAGAGGGGCGAGTTAACAAGCCAGGGAGTAAGCTCTCCCCCATGCAACAGATGGTTTGATCTCAGGCCTGGGTGTGGAAAAAGCAGCCTCTGCAAGAGCAACGAGAAGATGAGGAGGGCCTCCATCCATCAGCATTGCAGCATGTGCCCCAATCACTGACCCACAACTACAATCTAAAGCCTCTTACATGAAAAGGGAGAATTAACAATAACGCGGTAACTCACCAGGGAGGAGACAGAGCAGCGAGGGAGCACTTGGGAAAGCAGCCAAGAAGCAAAGACAAAGGGTGGGGGGCAGGGGACACTTCAATGCTCCAGACTTCACAAGGATTTTGCTTTTAAACAGACAGCTAGGTACTGTTCCGACACTTCAGAGAACTTCCAGGAAGCTGGTGCCCTCTAGTGAAACCATAAGGTTTCTGGTAAAGCTAAAAATAAATGCAGCTTGTTTCACTGACTCCACTACGGGGCAGCAAACAAAGGCAGCACCCAGCTTCTCCTCCTGCACTGGGTTGTAAACAGGGCAAGGCGTGCAGGATAAGCTTTAAAGGGCAATGTCTGCATCTGCACGGATCCAGCAGCCCAAGCTCTGGATAACTGCTCCTGTGTCAAACAAACATATGCAACATATGATCCTCAGCAACTGAAGGGAAAGACGGCGAAGTTTATCTTCCAGGTTTATTCCCCAAGCCTTATTAAGGTAACTCACAGCTGTCAATGCAAAGAACGTGTCGGAGTCAGCAGAGTCTAGGAAGTCTATCAACTCCACTTCAAATAAGACCGTGGCATTTGGGGGGATCAGAGGAAGGCAGCCCTGCTGGCCATAGGCATAACTCGGCGCGCAGATAAACCTTGCCACCTCTCCCTTCTTCATCGTGAGCACACCAATTTCCAGACCCCCCAGCGTAATGTCTGTCACAACAAGAAACAGAAGGTCATGAGAATCCCAAACACAGCATCCAATCTCAGGCTCCAAATAAGAATTTTCCTCTAGGCTTTAAGAGGAAATCCCTGGTAGCAGACCAATACAGCAGTCCGTTCCCCACTGTTACAACTCAAAACACACACTGCTGCACAACTCATCTCCGGATTAACGAGGCAATCTGCCGTGGGACAAGCACACAGCAAACATCCTCGTCTCCTCTTGGGTGATTTAATAACACTGAGGTGAGAAGCTGCTTCAGGACAGCAGCAGAAAGCACCCACACTGCCACCAACAGCATGAGCCCTGCTGCTCACTGCCACTGCCAGCATGTTGTGTGATCAGTTCTGGATTAACCTCCATCTACAAGAATGCTTTCTGATTCCATTCAGAAGCTTTAGAGATTTCAAAAAAAAACCTCAAGATACCGAACAGCATTTAAATTCACATGCCTCAACAGACACCTATTATAGCCCTGTGGTTCCGAGACAAACCTACCTTCTCCAAGCTTCATCAGCCTCGGGAGCTTCTTGGTGCAGTTTGTGCAGAAGGGTTTATCCATATGCTCCAGATACCCAGAATACTTCACTGCACAGCCCAGAACAAGGAGCAGGTAGGAGAGAACAGCAAGATTTAGTTATTGTGTCTGGAAACAATGCTGTCGATATCACTCTCACAGTCAGTTTTGCAACCACACTTTTTTTTTTTTCCCCTTCCTGCTGCTTTAAAACAGCAGAGGGAGCACAAACTGCTAACAAAAACCTGGTCACATCAGCACCAGATAAAACAGCTGCTTGGAAGCCTTTATTCTTATCTAAACAAGACATGCAATTTTGTGTCAAGAACTAGTGAGCTGCAGGCAGGAAGAGAAGGGGAACTTAAGCCACAGAAATTAAAACGCCCCAGTTATCTGCAGAAGGACTTAACAAATTTGTTCTCAAAGCACAGCTTGAGCCCAAGGAAAAAAAAGACCAAAGGAGAAAATGTAGCCTTCGAGCTCTGCTATTGCCTGAGAGCAGCGGGGCCAACTTCAGTTGTCATTCAATTAGGAGAAAAACCATAACGAGCTTCCCCTGCCACTCATCAAGCCCTTGCACAGGAACCACTTCCAGCTTAAGCTTCTTTGTACTGTGAACAGGCTGGGACCTGGAAGCCCGGCTCTGCTCCAGGTCAAGATGCCCCTCTGTTTAACCTGTCAGCTGCAAGAAGTGGCAGATACCGTCCCACGCACTCCAGCAGCCAACAAGGCACAGCGCAGCCCCAAGCAGAAAGCCTCACTGCTGTATGCTGAGAGCACCTGGAAGTTCGTCCCGATCTGCTGCCAACCGGAGCAGAAACGCAGCCACTTCATTTCAAGGCCCCGCGCGACGGGCTCCAGGCCCGGCCAGGCGGCCCAACCAACGCGGGCCCTGCCGAGAGGCTCGGCTGCTCGTTGCCCTGCTACCAGGCCAGGCGGCCAGACGGAACGAGCAGCACCGCGGCACGGCGCCGGGGAGCCCGCAGCCCCGCGGGGCACCGCACCGCCACACCCGGTCCGGCCGGGAGCGGGGCCGTACCCGCCACGGTGGCAGCCGGCGGCACGGGCTGCCCGGTGCCGGGCCGCAGCAGCTCCTTGCGCACGCCGCCGTCGCCGCTGATGTCCTGCAGGCCGCGGGCTCGCAGCGCGCAGCGGAAGCGAGAGGAGACCCCGACCCCGGGCCGCGCCTCGCCGCCCGCCTCCATCGTCCGCCGCGCCTCGCGCCCGGTCCCGCCCCTCAGCTCCGCGCCAATCACCGCCCGCACCGCTCCGCGACCTCAGCCAATCGCGCTCCGAGGAGCGCTCGCTTTGCGGCTCGCCGCTAAAAAGCCACGCGCCTCGGGAGGGAGGGCGCGACTCCGCGCGTCTCCTGGCCAATGGGAGGCGGGAGCGGCGCGGGGCTCGCGGTGCACTCTGGGGGATGTAGTTCCCCCGGGGCCGCGCTGAGGTCGCTGAGCTGAGGTCCGTGCCCGTCCGCCGGGCCTCGCTGCCTGCGGAGAGCTCTGAGTCCTCCGGGCACATGGGTGCGGAGGGGCCCCTCCAGGCTCAGGCCCACCTCTCCTCACTGTGTCCTGGGGATGGAGCTCAGGGAGTGCCGTGGCCTCTTGGTCTCATCCTCGTGTGCTGCCTGCTGGGGAAAGCCTCGGTGCGGCCCCAGGAGCTGAGAACTGCTGTGCCCCAAATGGGAGCAGCAGTGCGTTGGGGTCCTTAGGGATGGAGCATCTCCTGTATGAAGAAAAGCTGAGGGCTCTGGGGCTGTTCATCTGGAGAAGACTGGGAAGGGGGGGGAAATCTCATCACTTTGTAAATGCCTGAAGTGCGGGAGTCAAATGGATGGGGCCAGGCTCTTCTGTAGTGTGCAGCAACAGAACAAGGGGCAACAGGGAAAAACTGCAACGTCCATGCAAATATGAGGAAGAACTTCTTTTCTATGTGAGTGCCAGAGCCCTGGAACAGGCTGCTTAGAGGTGGGGGAGTCTCCTCTGGAGATATTCAAGACTGTCTGGACATTATCATGTGCAGTGTACTGCAGCGGACTGCTTTAGGGGATTGTGGGAGCTCCAAAGGTCCCTTCCAACCCCTATTATTCTGTGATTCTATGACTGTGGGTCTTCTTATGTCTTCTGCGAAACAGTGAAGTAGTTCCAGCCAACCAAAAAAAGCAAAACAAAAAAAAATCCAACAACACTCTTTCAACCAAAGAAGAGTTTTAGTTGATAACAAAGTGTTCTAGTGCAAATGTTTCCATTGATCCAAGTGGTGTGGATGACTGAAACCAGAGTGGGACTCGTCGAAACCACTCCTCAGCCAGGCAAACACCTTCATCTCTTATCAAGGTTCTGTAGTCATATGATGTGTGTTTGTACTGGTGCACAGAGCACTGGTCAGCCTTTCAGGGGCCAGGAGGAGGTGTGGTTCCGTCATCACAGCCCAGGCTGCAGGAGAGGAGGACTCACTGCCTCACTGCTGCGCACACTGCCGATGACCCTGCGGCACTTTGCAAGCAAGAGCAGCCTCTGCGGGGTTGAAGACACAATGGAGCAGTCACCAGGTGGCCAGCACTGCTCCTTGTCACATTGAGGGGCCACCGACCCCACTGCTTGCCACCTCTGCCCTTCTGACAGGGCTGAACTCTTCAGCTCAGTCAGGAGAAGCCGAGGGACATCCATCAGGTGTGGTGCACCAGGAAGAGCTGAGCCAGGGCAGAGAGGAGGCGGCACAGGGCACGTGAGTGGTGGCGAGTCGGACCTAATGGGGTTTCTTTGAGAGCAGTGGGAGCAGCTGAAGCTGGTTCCCCCGTGCAGTCTCATGTGGGTGGCTGACCATTCATGGGCTGACAATGGCGCTTTCCTTGATTCCCTGCTGAGCTCCTATAAGCAATGCCTGATAAAAGCTGAGCTCGGGTCACAGCCTCCCCTTTCCCTGGGGAAATTACCAAGTCTTTGACTTCAGGTTTATTTCACTGTGAGCAGGGAGACCACAAAGGCTCTGATGTGTGCTCTCTGCCAGCCTCTGTTCAGGAGCAGGCATGCACAGTCTGTCACACAGTTGGAACAGGGTCACCTCCAGGGCTGGGCCACCCATTGCTGCTTGTCTGCCTGGCGATGCCCTACCTGTCCAACTGCAGCAGAGCCCTTGGGACTCTAGATCTTGGTGTTTATGTCCCACCAATGCTGTGTGGAAACCAATGTTGCATGAACCACATAGTTCTTAAATAGAATGGCCATGTGTAGCTGTGAGGCTGGTGGGAGATGCAGAGATTTTGGCTTGTGTCTTTTGTGTGTGCTGGCCTGGAGTGTGGAACACTAGTGACCAGAAACCACGTTGTTTCAAGGGGGTAAACTGAAGTCACAGCCCTACACACTGTGGCTCAAACTCCCAACCCTTGTATCAGTCAAAATTAACTTTGCAAGTTGTATTGTGTAGTTTCTCTCCATCTTGAAGATGAAGATGCTGTTTGTGATTTCATTCTGCTTTTGCTCAGATGCATCACTTGAGCTAATGCCAGGACATGCAAGAGCTGAGACAATGAACCAAGGAGATCTGTAGAAATTCATACAGACCAGAGTCAGTGCTAGAACTCAGCAAAGATCGTTCTTGGCTCTGTCTCCAGCCTTGCCAAGTCTTGGCATGCAGGCAGGTCTCTCTTGGAGGGGGCTACAGGCTGACACAGCTGCCAGGCAAGGAAAGGTTCCGGATGAGGATCAGCTTGGTGGTGGCTTCTCCCACTGCAGGCAGAGCCAGGAGGCCTGACCGTATGCAGTCTCATGTAGTCAGAACACTGCAGATTTAAACAAGCATCTCACGCTATTTGTGGAGTCTAATTATAAGCTCACAACTGTCTGAACTGCTGATGGGACATGAAGGTGTTTGAGGCATCTCTTCACTTCTGCAAGTGCTGAGCTCTGTTTTTGCTCATCTGTGTTTGCCTTGCTCTTTGCATTAGGGCTGCTGGAAGGTGGCAGCATGGCTCGGAAGATGAGCATTGACAATCTGGAGGACCAGCTGCTCTGCCCCATCTGTTTGGAGGTCTTCAAAGAGCCCCTGATGCTGCAGTGTGGGCATTCCTACTGCAAGTCCTGTGTGCTGTCACTGTCTGGAGAGCTGGACGAGCAGTTCTTGTGCCCCGTGTGCCGCAAATCCGTGGACTGCAGTGCTTCACCACCCAATGTCACGCTGGCCCGCATCATTGAGGCACTGCAGAGCAGGGGCGAGACAGAGCCCACCCCAGAGTCCTGCCCAATGCACCACAATCCACTGAGCCTCTTCTGCGAGGCTGACCAAGAGGTGATCTGTGGGCTGTGCGGCACCATTGGCAACCACAAGCAGCACAAGATCACCCCTATCTCTACCGCATACTGTCGGATGAAGGTTGGCAGGCAGGGGTGGTGAGGGCTCCCTGGGGTGAGGATTATCTGTAGCAGTCTCAGCCCCGAGTATGGCAGTATTAGCATCTCCTGGCCTTCAATAAAGAGGCTGAAAATGGTGCCAGTGTGGGCAGCACGGTTCCATAGCATGAGCAGATGTGGGGCGGGGACCCCGGGCTGGGGCCAGCCATTTTTCAAGCCAAGCATGTCCCTGGCTGAGGGGATGTGTTTTTGGTGACTGAGCCGCAGTGGAGGAGAGCTGAGGGTCAGGGTGAGTCATAGAGGCCTTTCAAGATTGTCTACAAATACCATCAAAGGGAGTCTGGAGATAAGGGCTGAGGCGAGGTGCCAAAGGAGAGCAGGGAGGGAGGAAAACAGGAGCACCAGCCTGGCAGAGTAAACAGCTGGTGTCCCCTGCCCAACATCACATGAAAGCCCAAGGAGTGGAAAAGCACAGGGCCACCGTTCCCCTCACTCCTGACACCAAGGCGATAAGAGCAGGAGGCACCAGGAACGTGCCTGCCTGAGCCAGGCTCCAGGACCAGCACTGACACGGTGTTGCAGACTTGGTGCTGGCTGCAGCCACTCACCCGGAGCGTTGTTTTCATGGGATGCCAGATGTGGAGTGGAGCTGCAGTGCCCCTGGCAAGAGTAGTTGGCCAGCAGCATCCAGCACGGGGCTGTGCTCTGAGTGCTCTTCTGACTCTGGCACCCCCAAATCCTCTAGGTCAGACCAAAGATTAGCAGGATGTGCAGAACCCCATAGAGCTTAGAGAAAGCTTGGGAGAGCATGGCTTCTCGGGGCTCCTTGGGGAGCTGGCAGGCACAGGGGCAGAGCCTGCGATCAAGTAGGATGCCACAAGGTTCCTCCCCAAAACAGCTGTTGTGTTTCTAGGAGGAGCTGTCTGTGCTGCTAACCGATGTCCACCGGTGCAAGGGGAACCTGGATGAACAGTTCAGCAAACTCATCAACAACAAAATCCGCATTGCGGTGAGTTCCAAGTGCCAAAGGAGCCTGCTTCCCAGAGCTCCTTGCCTCCTACACAACCATCGGAGCAATTTCTGCTCCTGGGTCTCCTCAGCTCACTTCCTCCATTCCTCTCCCTCTTTTCTCCGTTCCCTAGGACAGTAGGCAGGGCTGTTCCCTGAGATTCCTGTCCTCCAGGAATTCTGGGGATTAAAATAGCCCTGTTTTCAGGATGGGTGACGCAGCCCTCTTGGGTGGCCAAGCCAGAGGGGTTTTCTGCAGGGGAGACATAACCTCAGTGAGTTCCTGGCAGGAGCTTGTTTGCCCACATGCCCTTGGAGATAACACATGAAGAACACCCTGCTCAGAGTAGGCTTCCCTGTCAGAATGCTGAGAATTTCACAATGAATTTGTGCTAATTTGGCTGTGTACCCTTTTTCCATGCAGTAGACATCTTGAAGGGACCTCTCTATCACTTTTTGAGGCTTGAGCTTCTGAATTGGGCCCTTTAGAAGCCAAGTGAAACTGGACCTTGAATTCCCCCAACTTAGTGCAAGGCCCAGGTTGTTCCCTGGTAGCAGAGGAATCCAAAAGCTCTTTCAAAGCTCTGATCAAGTTAGTTGGAACAAGAAGACAAAATCTGGGTGGAGAGAGGTGTATGGCAGGGGTGCCACAGTGCTGAGGGCAGCCAGGTGAAATGACATCCAGCCTCTCTGAAGAGCTGCTCTTTATTTGGAAGACAAATGCAGGGCAGCATGCTGGGACACGCAGAATTTGCTGGTGGCATCTCTGAAACTAGAAAGTGGCTGCAGGAAATACAGCAAGGCAGTCCTACAGAGCCGCTTGCTGTCTCCCTGCAGAATGAGGCAGATGTCTTCAAGTGGGTGATCCAGAAGGAGTTTGAGGAGCTGCACAGGTACATCGATGAGGAGAAGGCCACCTTTCTGGAGAGTGTGGAGGGGAAGGCGGCCCAGCTCATCACCTCCATTGAGTCTCAGGTCAAGCAGACATCAGACACCCTGCAGAGGCTGAAGGAGATGCAGAGCATTCTGGAGACACTCAGCAACGAAAGTCAGCTTGATTTCATCCGTGTGAGTGTGCCCATTAGTGACTGCCTCAGGAAGGTGGCAAGGCTCAGCCAGGCTCTCCCACCATCAGCCTCTACTCATAGCCCTGGGCCCTTCCCTGGGCAGCAAGAACCCTCGCCAAACATAGCTAGCACAGCATGAGGTGTGGGATGTAGCTGCCTTCAGTCCAGCATGGGATTCCCCAGATGGCAGAGAGCTGTCCATCAGAATACATCTCCTAGGAGAGGAGAGCCTTAGCCTCTCTGTCCCAGGACATGGACGTGTAGAGCTGTGACCATGCGGAGGAGCTGCTGTTGAGTCAGTCTATCACCACTAACTTCTTCTCTTGTGTTTTCCAGAAATACAGCTCCTACCAGTTCAGGTGAGTGATGGGACCCAGCAGCATGCAGCACCAATGGGAATGGCAGCACATAGGCCAGCGAGTACCTCAGCACTGGGGCAGCCTGGTGTGGGCACACTGCCCTGCTCACTTCTGTGGGCATTGCTGTTGTGATGGAGAGCCACAGCCAAAGCCATGCAGGCAGCCCCAAAAGAGGGCAAAAGCAGCTGCAGAGACACAAGTGGCTCCATCATATGCAGCAGAAGGTGAGAAAAGAACACACACTGTTCCCATCAACCTCTGTCATGGCTGCACTCATCTTTTCAGGTCAGAGCTTCCTAGCCTACACCCAGGTGATGCCATCTTCAGTCCCGTATCATTCAAGCCTTGTTTCCACCAAGATGACATCAAGATGACTGTGTGGAAGCGGCTGCACCGCCACGTCCTGCCAGGTACCAGCCTCCCCAGCTGACATTGCGTGGGCAGTTCTGGCTTCAGCAGCATGTGCTGCCAGGACAGACTGCCCAGCCAGCGTCCCACTGTCCTGGCCTCACTCTGCTCACCTCCAGCAGTGCTCCAGGAGCAGTGGCTGGTTCAGCATCTCATGCTGGTAGCGCCTGCTCTGGTGTTTGAGCAGTCTGCTCGGGTTCAGCAGCACGCCCAGCAGCATGCCTTCAGTCTGCCTGCTTTCCTTTTAGCTCCAGAGACGCTGAAACTGGACCCGGTGACAGCACATCCCCTGCTGGAACTCTTCAAGGGTGACACAGTGGTGCAGTGCGGGCTGTACCAGCGCCGGGACAGCAACCCCAAGCGTTTTGACTCCAGCAACTGCATCCTCACCTGCAAGGGCTTCTCCTGCGGCCAGCACTACTGGGAGGTGATTGTGGGCACCAGGAACCACTGGCGCGTGGGCATCATCAAAGGCACGGTCAGCCGCAAAGGGAAGCTCAGCAAGTCTCCCGAGAACGGCGTGTGGCTCATCGGCCTCAAGGAAGGGAAAGTCTACGAGGCCTTCAGCACCCCGCGGGCCACGCTGCCGCTGACCGCCCGGCCGCAGCGCATCGGGATCTACCTGCACTACGAGAAGGGCGAGCTGACCTTTTACAACGCCGACAGCCCCGACGAGCTCAGCCCGATCTACACCTTCCAGGCGGAGTTCCAGGGCCAGCTCTACCCCATCGTGGACCTGTGCTGGCCGGAGCGAGGGCCCTTCTCCCCTCCCATCATCCTGCCCCCTCCCGCTGCCGGCCGGCACACCCAGGGGCCCCCCGCGGCGGAGGAGCCCACCAAGCTGTAGGGCGCGGCACCGCGGCTCTCCCGGCGCAGCTCCCAGCGCGGAGCCCCGCGCCGCCGTCCTGAATAAAGCTGCCGCTGTGCTGCCCGAGCCGTGCTGCTGCGAGCGGGCGGGGGGCGGGGCCGCGGCGGAAGGGGGGCGGGGCCACGGAGTGCGCCGTCCATGCGAAGGCGGACTCGGGGGTGAGAAGAGGGCGTGGCTTGAGGCGGAAGTGACGTATTTCTAGCGCACGTGGGGCGACTTGGCCGCCGCAATGGCGCTGTACAGCGCGGCCGCTGCTGTGCTGAGCGGGCTGGAGCGTGGCGAGGGAGGCCTCAAGAGCCTGGTGTACGGCAGCGACTTCCCGGTGCGCAGCGGGGCTGGGGGAGGTGGTTGGGAAGGGGCCGGGGGCGGCGGCGCTGAACGCACGGTGCCGCCGTCCCGCAGCACGCCCGGCAGCTGTACGCGCTGGTGGCCGAGACGCTGCGCTACGGCCCGGTGCTGGAGGCGCTGCTGGACGGAGCCGAGCTGCTGCGCGTCGAGAAGAAACTGCCGCCGCTGCTGGCCAAGGTGAGGGCCGGGCCGTGCTGGGCTCCGGAGCCGGGATGGAGGCCGCGGTTCTCCCCGGCAGCGGGTGCTCACCGCCTGCCGTAGGTGCTGGTGTACGACCTGCTGTTCGGCAAGGGCCTCAAGTGCGGCGGCCGCTGGAAGGCGTTGGCCCGGCGGCACCGCGCGCGGCTGGAGGCCGAGCTGGCCCGGCTGAAGGTGCGGCGCGGGGTGAGCCGCAACGAGGATCTCCTGGAACCTGCGCCGGGAGCCGGGCCGGAAGGTGAGTGGGTGCGGGCCGGGCGCTGCCCACCGCGGCGGGGCCGGGGCTGACCCCGCACCCTACAGCCCTTCAGGTGCCGCGTTACGTCCGGGTGAACGTGCTGAAAACGTGCGTGGATGATGTGGTGGAATTCTTCAAACGCCAGGGCTACTCCTTCCTGGGCAGGGCGAGCAGGTGGGCGGGGCCTGGTTCTGTCTGGGTTCTCTGTGCAGCGTGAGTGGGTGGGCAGTGAGCCCCTGTGGGGTGCAGGTGGGTGAGCAGCAGAGAGATGGTGCTGCGGGTTGGGGTGTCCACTGGTGTGTGCCTACCTTCTGTTTGTGGGTGCTGCCTGGTGATGAAGTTGGGCAGAGATGTGGGATGGAGGGATTTCTGCACCTGGGCTCTGGAGGGCTCTGGTGCTGAATGCGGTAAGGCTGAGTTGTGTTCATCCTCTGTGTGAGCAGTGTGGAAGAGCTGAAAATACTTTCTGGGAAGAAATTCTTGCTGGATCTTCACCTCGCAGAGCTGCTCGTTTTTCCTCCGCAGACGGACTTTCATGACAACCGGCTCTATACGTCAGGACACATCATCCTGCAGGACAAGGTTGGGAGCTGGGGAGCGGGAGGCTGCAACACAGGGGTAAAAGCCACTGGCAGGGGTGGGGGCTCAGCCTTTTCCTGCATGCTCAGAACTGGGCTTGGAGCTGCTTTGCTGCAGCATTTACTTGTAGATTAAGCAGAAGCTATGAGTGCAGGCTGAGGCTGTGGGGATCCCCTCAGCTCTGCTTTCGTAGCCTGTGGGTAGGGGGTGAGTGGCTCTGGCATGCGCTGTAGGAACTCCTCATAGGGAGCTGGGCTGTGGTCATGTGGTGTTGCTCCCACCGTTTGGTAAGAGGACTCCAGACCCAGGGCTGAGTGTGGGTGGTGTGCAAGCATGTAACTCCATAACATCTGCTGCCTCCCAAGGAGGATGCGGGGATGGCTGCTGCATAAACTGCTGGCAGCCCACACCTTTTTTGGTGCCCTGTTCTCCTGCAGGCCAGCTGCTTGCCAGCCTTCCTCCTCAGCCCTTCTGCTGGCTCCCATGTGATTGATGCCTGTGCTGCCCCTGGGAACAAAACCAGCCACCTGGCTGCCATCCTGAAGAACAAGGGGTGAGTGTAGGGCTGTGCTGTGGCAGGGCCAGAACAGACTGGGTGGCCCAGTTCTGAGGAGAAAGTTGTAGGGCTGATGTGGAAGGAGCTGCAGATGCATATTGAGGCTGTGGATGCATCTGAGCAGCTTGCACAGCACGGCCTTTGGGTTGGGCAGGGTGTTCACACCCCTTGGGTTCTTTTTCAGGCATATCTTTGCCTTTGATGTGGACACCAAGCGCCTGGCTACCATGAACACCATGTTGATGCGGGCAGGGGTCACCAGCTTCAAGCTGGCCCAGCAGGACTTCCTGACAGTTGATCCCCATGATCCCAAATACAGCAAAGTAAAATACATTCTCCTGGACCCATCGTGCAGCGGCTCGGGTAATGTTGGGGATGTCAGCAATTTCCTTGCTACAGGTGTCAGCTGGGTTTTCCATGGGCAGACCCATGGGCAACGGCTGCTGTCCCTGCAGGGATGGTGGCCCGGCTGCCTCTGGAGGAGGCAGCCCCGAGTGCAGAGCGGCTGCAGGCGCTGGCTGGCTTCCAGCGCAGGGTCCTGAGCCACGCGCTGCGCTTCCCGGCGCTGCAGCGTCTGGCCTACTCTACCTGTTCAGTGCACAGAGAAGAGAACGAGGATGTGGTGCATGCAGTGCTGCAGGAGCAGGGATCGGCCTTCAGGTGCTCCTTTCCGGGAGGAACGGGCCTTGGGGAGTCACTTGTGGTAGCTCTGTGTGTTGCTGCTGGACTCAGCGCTGTCCCTTGTTCCCTCTGCAGGCTGGTGAACGCGTTCCCATCCTGGCCGTGCCGAGGACTTGCTACCTTCCCAGGGGCTGATTGCTGCCTCCGCGCCTCTCCTGCAGATACACTCACACAGGGCTTCTTTGTGGCTGTCCTGGAGCGCTGTGGGGAGGAAGCTGCTGTCCCCAGGTGCAGGAGACAGGGGAGAAGTGGGCCCAGGACTGCCTGGGTGCCCAGAATGCCTTGTCTTCTTGCTGTGAGGGCTGCAGTGTTGAAGGTGGCATGAACCACTCAACTGTCATTGCTCTTGTGTGCAGCTCCCTGCCTGCAGCCACTGAAGAGAATCTACAACAAGAAGAGGGAGTAGAGCCAGGAGCAGCTCCTCCCAAGAAGAGGAGGAGGAAAAAGCAATGTGTGAAGGTGTGAAAGAATTCTAGGAGTGTGCGGTGCCTTTTTGAGGCTGGTTTCTGGTGCTGGGCTGTGCTGTGGCCCTGGCGCCGAGTAACAGAAATAAAGCTTTTCACCAGCTGCTGGCCTGGTGAGCTTCTGTAATTCCCTGATCCAGTCCGTGGCAGTAGTGCTGGTGGTACCTGCTGCACACACAGGCAAAGGAGTGGGAATTGCTCCTGCACACGTATAGGTGCCCCCAGAGCTGGGCTGGGGCAGCCTTAGGCAATCAAATCAAACAGCAGCACAGTTTCCTTATCCTCTGGGGTTGGATTCCTCCAGCTGGAGTAATGGCATTATAGTGCTTTATAGGCCCCTAGAACTCCATACTTAACCTTTATCTGGGGCATCAGAAAAGGCTTTTGCCTTGCAGTGACTTCTCTGGTATGTGTGTGCAGTGCACCCTGTCTAGAATCTGCCCCTCTCTGGCCTTCAGGCTGACAGCTGTGTGACAGCCATGCCAAGACTCAGGTGAGGTGGGAAGGGAAGAATGCTGCCTTGCCCCTATGGCATCCTGCCAGAATGAGGAGGGAGTGCAGCACTGTGCAAAGCAGAGGGAGCTGAAAAACAGTATCCCAAGCACTGTACAGCCCTCACACAAAAGCAAACCAGACAAGAAGAGTCTTTTTATTTTAAATTGGTGACATGAGAAGCAAGGAGAAAACCATTGCCTGTTCATTCTAAATCATTACCAGCCACACCAGGAATGGTCCAAGCCTCCAGTTCTGAGTAAGAACCCAGCCCAGGGAGAAGGGAGCCTACCTTAAGCCTGGACCTGCCAAGGCTGGGGCTATGCTGGAGCTCTGCTCTCTGGAGGCAGCCTGTGCTCCCCAAGGGTGCTCTCACCTTGCTTTCTGCTTGTCAGCCCTCTCTGCACACAGGTTGTGGCTGGAACCCTAAGGAGGGAGGTTGAGAAGAGGGAGGTTGAGAAGGGGCAGCCCCCACCCTCGTGTGACCACGCAGCCTGCCAGCCATGGGCCCAGCTCCCTCCATGCCTCCACTCATCCCTTAACACTATGGCTGTGGTTCTGGACAGAGGGAGGAATTGCCAGCATCAGCTCCTCTGAGCACTTCTGCATTCTCAACCCCTAAGGGCACGTGCACCCAGCTTGGCTCCTTCAGCACTTATTGGCCACATGGGGGACCAGCCTGCAGTAGGCCCCATGTGCCCTCAGCTCTTTGTTTTGCAGAGAGGTGAGAACAGCCTGCACCAACTGCAGGGGCTGGGAGCACTCCCAGGAGAAGAGTGAGCCTGCAGCTGTGCCTCCCTGCCCTCCTCCATCAGTTGGGGGGATTGCCCCATACCACTCATCCATTCCCAGCCCTGCAAAAGCTTCTGCTCCTCAGCTTCAGGGGAATTAAAAAAAAAGTTTATTCACATCCACGTACATCACATTTGAGAAACAAGGACATATTGTTACAGCCTGGGAGGAGCAGATGGCTCCTGCTCTGGGACACAGCTGCCTTTCCCCAGCACAGCCCTGTCCCACAGCACAGCCACTGCCCCAGGGTGCGACAGAACGGGAAAACTACCAACAGCGCTGCAGTCAGCAACCTCACTGAACCAAGCTTGAAGGAATTCAAAGGCAATTTAGCTTAAATATAAAAATAAATTCTTATTTTGTTAAAAAATGTTTAAATATTTTTTTTTTTCCTTTTTAATTTAGACTTCAGCAGACACACACACTCACACGGCTCGGAGAGTAAAAAACCCGGCAGCCAGGCATTACTAGAGGCAGAGGGGAGCTGCGGGCACAGCTCTCAGCCACAGGGACCAGAGCTCCAGTCACCTCTTCCTCACTGGGCTCCCAAGGGTGATGGGCATAGGGGCAGCACCGCAGCTCCTTGGAGCTCGTAGGAACTAATGGATGGGGATGAGCTCAAAGTGAAAATCCATTCCAGTTTGGGGAAGGAACAAACCCACCACTTTCTTTGGTGGTGCCAAAGGAGCTTGAGGTGGTAACACGGCTCCAGCCCAGGAGAAAGGGTCCAGGAAGAGAAGAGGCTGCAGAGGCCAGGCCTCTGCCCCAGCTGCCTTTCTTTCAGTCACAACAAAGGGACAGAACTCACCCAGCATGAGCAGCCACGCAGTGATGCTACTGTCAACATCCAATTAGCCAGGGTGCATCCCCACGAAGGGATGGGCGCCCAAAAAAATAACTCCAAACAGCAAATCCGGCATAACCAACATGCCGCCACGCACACGGTTCAATTCTTCCTCCAAACTCGATTCAATGAGCGCATTAAAACGGGAGCACAAACAAAGCAGAACAGACAGGGCTTGAAGCGAGCGGGTGGGGGGAGCCCAACAGAGGTGGGAGGCAGCACAGAGCTGCCTGCTCCACACCCCACACCTCGACCAGAGGCTTGGCAGGAGCTGTTGAGTGGTGGCAGTGGGCTCAGCCCCCATCCACAGCTGTGTCACCCCCTGTGACACCAGGACAGCCACACTCACAGGGCTGGGCGCTAACACAGCCTCCTGCTCTGCGGAGATGGCAATGAGTGGCTCGAAGAAAAGGGATCACGTTCACCAGGCCACGAGATTCAACAGTGGGGAAAGACGTCTGGGCCTGGTGAAGACCACGTCCCGTGGCAGAGAACTGTGACAATGTAATCACAGTGGCCTCAGGCTCTGAGTGTGGACGTGCTTGTGCCATGCCGGGGGTGATGAGGGTTGGGGGGGGTTCAGAACATCTATAAGAAGCAACAGGGAAAATTTACACGTTATGAAACATGGCAAAACAAAGGGAGGGAGGAAACGTGGTGGATATGTACAGAGGTTCATCCAGCCTTGGCTGTGGAACTGTTCAAGTAAGAAGAGTTTGGTTTATCTTGTCCCGGCCGGCATCCATGAAGGCACGGCCTGGCACCATCGCTCATGTGCTGGGGAGCGCTCTGAGCAGAGCCCCTGGGGACACACTGTGCTCCTTGCACAGCCAGCAGCGGGGCTCTGAGCCCCAGGTTACTTTTTACGGGTGTGCTGTCGCCGTGCCTGCAGCCGCTGCCGAGCACCGGTCTTGGATCCTGCCCCAATGGAAAATGCTGGCGTTGATGGACCTGGAAGCAGAAAGGAGACACAAGTCACAGTGCAGCCTGGCAGAGGGGAAACTGAAGAGCTGGCCTCCTGCAAAGCCTGCTCATTAACCTGTCACACAGAACTGCATCACAGCCAGCTCACACAGCCCAGCCCAGCCCGGCCCCACTGCCATCCCATAGCAGCCCACCAGCCCTGAGCTCTTACCAAAGGAAGTGCCCACTCCTGGGAAGGCCGAGGCAGGAGCGCTGGGCGTCCCGAAGGAAAGGCTGCTGCTGCCACTCCCCACTGCTCCTGGGACAGGCGTGCTCTGCCCAAAGGTGGGGGCAGGAGTTCCTGGAAAGTAACAAACTGCTGTGAGTTGGGCTGAGTGCAGCCTCTGGTGGCCAGCAGCACCCAAAGGCACCGGGATGCACAGATTTCCTCCAGGAACTGAGGCCAAGCAGCCCCACCAGGCACAGCCTCTTCACCCAAGAATCATAATCCCTCTGCCTTCCCACAACAGAGGGAGGCACAAAAGCTTCCATCTTTCTTGACCAAAAGTTCCTGAGCATGTGGGCTGCAACTCCATGGGAGACAAGATGTTTCCATGAAAGAACACCCCAGAGAGCCAGCAAGGAGACTGCAATCACTGGCTGCAAGGAGTTCTGCTTGCCAGAAAACTCTAAATTGATTACTGTGAGAGTGATGAGGTGCTGCAACAGACTGCCCAGAGAGGTTGTGGATGCCCCATCCCTAGAGGTGTTCAAGGCCAGATTGGATGGGGTCCTGGGTAGCCTGGTCTAGCATTAAATGGGGAGGTTGGTGGCCCTGTATGTAGCAGAGGGGTTGGAGATTCACGATCCTTGACATCCTTTCCAACCCAGGCCATTCTGTGATTCTGTGTGATTTCAAACATCAGCAAGACTGTGGTTTCACAGGCAGAAGAGCAGCTAGCTGGGCTCAGCAGAGGCCTGGCACATTTAGAGGGGCCAAGGGGCACCACACTGAAGGGCTACAGACCCTTCCCCTCCACCACTGAGAGCTGGGGATCTGGGAGCACATGCTCCACAAGCATCACCCCTCAAAGGGCTGCAGAGCCCGTGGAAAGGGACAGGACAGATAGCGGCTCACCTCCAAACACGGGCTTGGCATCAGGTGTGCTGGGCACAGTGAAGGCGAACGGCGTGCTCTGGCTTGGCGCTCCCAGCGTGCTCTGCGTCAGGGAAGAACCAAATGGTGTGGCAGCTGCAGCTGCTGCGCTCTGCCCAGCCCCAAAGCTGAAGGGCACTGCGGGTGAGCCGCCGCTCAGGGCGGGTGTGCTGAGCCCAAAGGCACCGGCAGAGGGGCCTGGCTGGGTGGCTGCCCCGAAGGTGAAAGGAGACGGCGCAGTGCCGAAGATGGCGGTACCAACGCCGCTGCTTGTGGTCTGAGTGGCGGAACCGAAGCTGGCTGTGGTAGAGGTGGCTGTCCCAAAGGAGAACACCGACGTGGTGGTCCCAAACGCCGCCTGGGTGCCGCTGGTGCCGAAGGTCGGCGGAGCGCTGCTGCCAAACGCCGGCTGAGCGGTGGACTGGGCTGTGGGTGCCCCAAAAGTGAATGGGGGAGCAAAGCCGATGGGGCCCGCAGTGGGCTTGCTGGCGGGCAGCTGGCTGTCTGCAGCACCGGCACTGAATGCGGGCTGGCTCGCTGCCCCAGAATACGGCTGCAGTGGCTTCACATTTGTGCTGAAAGTACTGCCAAAAGCTGAACTGGAGGAGCCAAATGTCAGCGCCGGTTGGCCTGTGGTGGCCGGGACAGAAGATGTCAACGTGGTGCTTCCAAATATGCTGAAGCCCGCAGTGGTGGTAGGTGCTGTTGAGTTAACAGGTGCTTGGCCAAACGCAGGGCCTCCTGTGACGCTGGTGGCAGCAGAGACAGTGGCTGGAGCAGGCTTTCCAAACTGGAACACTGGGGCAGCAAAGGTGGGTGCTGTGCTGGTGGCAGAGCTGGACAGGCCACCAAACATGAAGGGCTGCGATGTGCTGGTGGCAGCGGTGGCGGTCACTGTCAGGCTGGTGCTGGTGGAGGCAGGTGGGTTGAGACCAAAGCTGAACACTGGTTTAATGGTGCCATCCGTGGAAGAGTTGAGCGTGGTGGCAGTCGTAGCTGCGGTGGTGAAGATGACGTTTGGCAGAGCTGTGAATCCCGCCAGTGTGGTTGTGGAGGCTGCTGGCACATCTGCAGCTGAAGCTGGCTGTGACAACGGTTTGAAGGCAAAAGGAGAGACCTTTGCTGGAGATGAAGTCGCTGTCACGCTGCCAAAGATGGGCTTGAACATGGTGGTGGTGGAAGGCGCCGAGGAAGGGGCTGAGCTCACAGACACAGTGACTGCAGTAGAGATGACTGTTGTAGCCGGTGCTGCGCTCTCACTTTTTGGCAAAGCACCAAAGATGGGTTTGAAGACAGGGGTCGTGGTGGGCACCACAGCGGCTGCAGTCACTGCCGGCTGGCTGGCAGGAGGGGAACTTGGTGCCCCAAAAAGGATGTTCGGCTTCAGCATGGAGGGAGGTTTGCTGGGGGTTGGGCCCAGCTCTGTGGTTGCGGGAGGTGCCACACTGCTGGCAAGCTGTGACCCCGAGGCAGGGGAGACAGAAAGAGCAGCCGTGCTTAGCACAGACACAGGCTTGGTGTCAGCAGAGGTTGCAGGTAGAGAATTTGACTCCAGTGACACAGCAGGAGCAGGCAGCTGTGATGCTGATGAAGATGGCTGGAATGCTATCGCAGCTCCAGAAGAGTCTGGAAAGGTGAAGATATAAGTTCAGGTTTTTTTTTTTTTTTTTTAGGGATAAGGAGTAATGTATAGAGAGCTTTTCTGCCGGGCAGCCACTCTGGTTCTGCAAATGTTCCCAGAAATGCAGCCCCTTGCACTCCCACAAGGTCACACCTGGACCATTGGCTGCACCCCCCAATTTGCCCTCCAGATTAAGGGCCAAAAGAGCATTTAAATAGGGATCTTCCAGCCTGCCTCCCCCAAAGGGAATACAGAGCTGCTGCTGAATCTGGCTTGCTCTGCCACAGTCCCATCCCACTGACACCTTTCCTCCTCACCTGCTGGCACAGGTGCAGCCTGGCTGCCCTGCATCTTCTTCAGGCTGTCCAGGAGCAAGTTGCTGCTGGCTGGGACAGGAGCTGTTGACACAGGCGTTGAGGAGGTCCCTGTGGTCACTGTGAATGCTAATGGCTTGGATGCAGGCATGGTCTCTGCAGTGGTGCTACTGGGGACTGGATCTAACAGAAGGAAGCAAGAAATCAGCATCTCTAAACCCGCTGTAGAGGACTACCCTTAGCAAAGCTTCTCCAAAGGTAGGAAAACCACACCAACATCCCACTGCTCTGGTCCTGGGGGACTTCAGCCACCACCCTGCAGGCTCTGGGACACAACCACTGTCTTGGGTCTGAGGGTGCTCAGAGCCAAGGACCAGGCAGGACTCGCATGGGAGCATCCCTGGTCTGTGCAACAGATGCCCCAATGCCAGCTAGCCTCATTCCTGGGTTCCTACCCCTCCCTGTTTCCTGCTATACCCCAGGTGCCCACAGCTCTTACCAGCTTTATCCTCCAAGACTTTGTTGAACCACTGCAACGCTGCCTTCTTCTCCGCATCCAGGTCCTCCGACGTGATGGAGTAGCCCAGCTGAGGCGGCGGGGGCTGCCAAGAGAGAGCAGCGGCTTAGCTCCTTCTCAGGGAAGCCGGCAGAGCTTCTCTGAACGTGTGGTGAAGGCTGGCCGTCGCAAGACCCGTGACGCAGCTGGTTCTGCCGCAGCACGCTACCGCGGAGCTCCGGTCCCCACTCCGCAAGACCCCGGCTTGGCGCTGAGGGCACGGCCTTCCCCAGGCCATTACCTGGTCCGGCAGCAGGCGGCACAATCACGCACAGCCCACCAGACACTGGGGCTGGGGATAGCGTCACTTCCCACTCCGCCAAGGACAGGGCCTCCTTCCTGAGGGCAGGCAGGTCAGTCTCCCCCCAGCCCTGCAGAAATTGCAGTGAGCACATTCTATCTCCAGAGGAGGGCAAAAGGGGTTGCGAGACAGCGACGTACCAGCGCCAGCTGGTCCCCCCGGCGAGACGACAGCAACTGGATCTTCCGCTTGCGCTTGCCACTGCTCCCCGACGCAGCTGGAGGGCTCAGGGAACCGCGCTTCCTCCGCACAGGTGTCTCCACCACTGCTGAAGGAGACAAGTCAGAGCCAGCTCTGGGCAGAGGAATAGCCTGGCTCGTGCCAGGAGGGCCGTCCCTTCCAACTCCTCTCCAGATGACCCAGTCTGAAGGCAGAGCCAGGGATACAGCTCTGAGCTGAGGACAAGGCTGCAAGAGCCTGAAGAGCAGCTGTCTGCAGCACATCCTGGGGCAGTCTGGTACAAAAGCCTGCTAGCCTTTAGCGGGGCAGTAACTCCTTCTCCACTTCCCAGATTGCCCCTGCAATCTGCCTACCTGAATCACAGACCAGGCAGGCTACACATCTAGCGCTGCACCACAGGACCCAG